GGAACGCGACTCGTGGAAAATCTTCGCGTGGCATCTGGGAAGCAGAGCCACGGTGATTTACGACGCATTATCCACGGCCCGATAGGGGATCGCGTAACGATGGCTACGGCAAAATTAATCGCGAGCGGTAATTATTTTCGTTCGGTACGATTTCTCGGAACCGGCCGGCTGTGATGGGAGAAACGTCCTGTTGCTCGTCGCGGTACATAGTATTCCTCGACCAGGGAATTCTCCACGCGTGTATGTGTGTGCGTGATTATGTTTGCATCGCTAATGATTTAAAACTGTCGAAGACGAACGGTGAAATTTCGAGCGATTGCCTTCTCTCCAATGCGTTTTTCGGTTCGTTAGCGATGCCCGCCAGATGTCGCGAGTGAGTTATGAACGAGGCTTACGGACTACTTACTCGAACTGTTTTTAGATGCAATACTGTTTGATGAATTTGGAAAAACCAATTGGATGGTTGATTTAATAACATTTAGAATTTTTGGAATTTTTGTTCTTGCTAAAATGTTAAAATAAAATATGTGAATGATTATTGATGTAGGAATTTAATTGGATTGGATATTTTTTCATAATTCTTGATAATATTTGATATTACGAAGAGAGAGAAGCTATAGAATATTCAAAGATAAAATATTATTGGTAAATTGTTAGTCGAGCATTTCCAAATCATTGTGTAGATATTGTGTCAAATTCCCACGAATTAAATAGCAAAAGACACGAGATCGATTAAACTCGTAACTTCGCCGATTAAGACGTCCAACAGGTAAGTGAACACAATGTTCCCCGAGCAAACGGTGGAGTAATCGTATCGGTGATATTCAAATTAGAGCGATACCGGTACACACTGTGTATGTGCGTGATTAAAAATAAACGCGTGAGTCGGCGTAATTTCACGGTTGCGCGATTTAGTTAAGTCGCTCGCGTGAGCCATTGCTTTTACGATTGTGTATTGGACTTCGATGGAGTCGCTTTATAAAGGGATATGCAAAAGCTTGTGCAAGCGGTGAACGAGTTTCTCGATCCTCGAGGGTAGAACACACACACATACACACGTTGGAAAGAATGCAAAAAAGAAAGAGAAGAATTGAAGATTCGTTTTCGTGAATGTTATTCGTGCCCCTTGACGTCATAGTTGTATTTGACCGCATAAAAGCGATATCTCGTCGAAAATAATGTGTTCATATTTCGAATGATTCACAGATCTTTTGAGAAATATTTTTTCATTCTTTGTTCGAAAATATTTTTTCATTTTTTTATATGCAGAAAAAAATCATCTATTTTTTACTGCAAAATTAATATTAGACAAACTTTCTAATTAAATGAACAAAAAATTGGACCTGTAAAATGATATTATTTATGAGATGATTTGATATATATATAATACTTCAATATTTTTTATCGATAGAAAGTATTGAAGAAATTAATATGAAATATAAATTGGCCAAATAATTAAAAATACAGTTTCAACAGTTTATCGACAACATTTGCTCGCTCATCGAGGCAACGTCGATGAACTTGACTGAAGGTTTCACTTTCCTCCTGTTTCGAAGAATTATCGAGAAGAGCGATGCATGAATAATTCATGCATACATAGTTCCAAAGAATGATTTACTTAATGACTCTTCTTCTCCCCGGCTATCGTATCCTCTGTCTACAGTTATTGTCCCCACGAATGGCACGAACCTTGAACCTTTACTCCAACCCAACAAGGCATCAGGCTCTTTCCAGGACATCGTAAAATTTTTTATTTCAATTCGCGTAAACTTCTATTAAATATATCTTATAAATATAACTTCTATATAAATATATATTCGTATCGAAAATATACATACTCGATTACACGAAGCGTAATATATCGTTGATGAGATTGAAAAAAATTCTACAGTTAAAATATCTCCGTTTTCATCTTCGCGGTCAATAACCATTTTTGCCTCAAAAAAATTTCTATTCTCCTACTACCACTTTCTAAAACAAGTGTTTTTATTTCCGCCAAATTGCCTCTGGGCTGAAAATCACGAAAATAAATTTCATAACGATAAAATTAATATAGTGAGAATAATTAATATTAACAGATGATTAATTAATTAATTAAAAATTTATTTATAATTTTTCAAAATCTAATTGAATAGATCTTAAAATAAATATGTACGTATCAATAATTTTTTTTAAATTTTTATCATATAACTCTAATCTTAACTTAAAGTTTTAAAAATCAGTAAATCACTGAAAAAAAAAATGAAAAGTTGCAAAAGAAATAATTTCCTCTAAAGATTTATTACATCTAATCTAAAAGAATAAATAAAATGAAAATTTCTAAATCCGCCATAAATTGCATAATCCTCGAAATTACTAGGCACATAATCGTATCGAGATCACTAAGCTAAAATATTAAAAAAATCAGCCCGCGATCGTACACGAGTACTCTTAAGTAAAATTGACGATAAATCAGCCGTGAATCTAAATGGCCGTTCGGGATCCTGTAGCAATCACGATAAAACCATCGTAAAACGTTTCTTCTTTTCCCAGATTTCCCCACCTTCTGTTCGAGAGAAGAAACGAGGGAAGATTTATGCTATCCAAGAATTCTAACTTTTTCATCAAAAAACTCACACGAGAAAATCTAGAAGAGAAGGAGCAAATCTTGACAAGCTGAAACATCTCCGCATTTTCTTACGTGTCTTCTTCCACGCGAATTCGCGATCGATCGATGTTCTATTTTCTCCTTTCAATTTTATAACCGGTTAATTGCGCGGATGGCATGGAAATGGCAAGGCAACATGTTTCTTCTTCTACTTTACTCCTATTATTTATATAAACGAGACGAGGAACGCCATCTCTCTCCTTGCTTATGAAACGAGCATGTATGTTTATTTACATACGATTATTTATAGATTAGAGAGATTTGAGGCTTTCACCGTCGAATATGATAAAGTTATTTATACGAATGTTTATATTTTCCAAATTGAATATATTATGTAAACACACCTATATAGAAACGAAACTATAATAGAAACGAATACAAATAAAAATCTATCTCGATCTTTAAATATATCGTAACGTGCACTTTAACCTCGATTATTTTGTGCATATTTCCACACACATTTAAAAGCACGAAGAGCCATAAAATAAAAAATTCTCGAATCAGGATATTAAAAAAGATAAGAAATTCGTGTTTGATAAATTTTATTATTAAGCTTGTGTTTAAAATTAACAAGTATCCAGTGATTTACTGATCGGACAGGTATTCGTGCAACGCGTAATAATCGTTGCAACTTCATCGCGAATTTAAAAGAAACGCAAAAAACATGATGATGTCGTAACAGATGATGAGCCAAAGACGATAGATTCGACTCGCTCAAATCGAACACTAGTCACTCGCGAAACGATTCGACATTCTTGCTAACATCTGCAAAACTTTATATCGTGGAAATTAACGCGGATTAAACTCGCGCGAGAAATTTTGCTCGGAGCTGGAATTATGGGCATTTAATTTATGAATATTATTTACGACGTCCCACGTCAACCACGTCGCGGACGAACGGCGACAGCACGAAAGCGTTAAAACCTGTAGAATGTAGGAAATTTCGTTCATAAAGATATCCCCCTGTCCGTGAAATCATTGCCGGCTTTCTTCTCCACGGGCTCGTGCCTGGACATCGTCGCATTAAAATGTTAGATGTCCGCGTTAATTACACGGTGAAGCGTCTCAGTATTAACACACTGACGTGTATCAAGACGTTTCAGGAAGCGGAAATTCGTCGCGGTTACATAATTATCGAGCATGCGGCGGGATTATTTACCACCCTTGGAGAGAAACCGAGGAAGAAGCATGAAGATTCTAATTAACGAGTTATTGATGTCTTTGGGCGGAAGAAATGATCGACCGAGAAATTCTGTGGATGCATGGATCAATTTTGCAAAAAAAAAAACGTGAAGCGAGCATTCTTGTTCGAGATAGAATCGCAATAGGAATTTGTTTTAGATGAATTATTTGTGTATCACGGTAAAGTAATAATTATTTTCATTCAAAAATTATAGTAAATTGATTTACTTTATTGGAATTTTATAAATTTAAATGAATAATAATATATTTCAATTTTTAAAGAAAATGTTTTTAGAATTTTTGTTAAAATATTAAGCTTCCTAAATTTTTATTTTTAATGGTTAATTACATAGTAAGTTTAAATTAGTTATATAAGCGAAATCAAGCACAAACCTGAAGGAAGACATCAATCAAATTAAAGAAACTACAAACTTATTGAACAGTAATAAATCATTTCGCATAGTACAAGTATCTGAAACATAAAATTACAAATTTTCCATCATGTTTTATTACTTGCTTGTTTGTTTATACGTGTTGTAATTAACACATTAATTTGTTTATATACATTATTAAATTCAGTACTAATGAAATCAGTGTATATTTGTAGAAATTAATAAAACAGAATACAAAAATCAAACAAGATATCTTCTTTTTTATTATAACAATACTTATATAATTTATCAAAACTGAAATCCTTATTCCAAATTATTCCAAATTGTCTAAGAAAGAAACATTCGCCATTAAACAAGAAGTAATTCATTCTGTCGTCAGAATCAATCGAAATCTTTACCAATCGTTTGTTTTTGCAAACGAAAAAGACCAAAAGACTAAGTCGCAATGAAACAACCGGTCCTATAAGAAAAAGAAATATGGAGAACGACCTTCAATTTGATACGACAGCGACTCACACGAGTTGATCCCAGGCTGATTAGACCGTTCTCGATGCACCTACTCATTAATGCACGTAGCGAAGAAGAGAAGTCAAGCATAGTCGAGTCGCGTTACTTTAATAGACGTAGCAAAACTAATGGATGACAGGAATAAGAAAGTCCGGCTGGCTTCGTGGTGCCTCGTTCCGAGGCCAGTCGCAAAAACATGCTGCTTATCGCCGCCTTCATCTTGTATTCTGTTTTTACAGCGAATAATTATAACAAACCAGCGGTATACTCACAGTCTATGGACCTTCTTCTTTCTTTCGCTCCTCATCTGTCTGATCTCACGAATCGTGGCACGAAAAACAGCAGTTCCGACGAATATATGGCCATAGGACCTAACCTAAAAATGAAAGGCGTAATCAGCGTTTTCAAAAATGTTATCCTCGTCGCGATCATATTACATTATCTATGATATATAAAAACATCATAACTGATTAACTTATTATGATTCCCTTCATTGTGCAGTTAATTAAGATCTGTCTTTCTGACAAAAATATGTAACACATGCACTTTTTAACATGACGTTTTATTGACGCGCATGTGCGCCAGTAACTGAGCATGCGCAATTAACACCGGTTCTACACGCTCCTTGTATTTACCGAATTATTACTTTGTAACGCGCGTGCTCAACGCTTAAGATCGAAGATTTCGCGGTTTCTTCTTTTCTTTTTGCACTTGTCCAACGACGATGATGAATGACTGCTTAAAGAGGACTGCATGCTTGAGAACTATTTGCTTTTTGTATCACGGATAGCTGGATGCAGTTATGAACGACATGTGTAATTATTGAAATTTCACGATAGAAAGCAATACTTGTTTGTTGGAATCGATGATTTTAAATGAAATTTAAATATTTAATGTTTGAGAAAAAATTGTATAACTTTGTAATGTAATATTTTGATTTTAAAAAACATATAGATGATCAAGATAATCCTATATTCTATGTTATGTGTATTTTTATTTATAAATAAATAACCGCCTTTATCATATAGACGCAAAAAAAATGCAACAAATAAGATCTTTTTCTTAAATTTTAACAGGATATCGATCAATTATTGAATTAAAATACTCTTTTTCATTTAATATTAAGTAAAAGTAAAAATGATATATATTAAAGTATCATAATAATTTTATATCTAAAAATCTGGCAAATATAGTGTGAAATGTGTTAATAATCTTCACAATTTTCACACTATAATTATATATAATAATTTATAAGCAATCTTTCAATTCAAAACACGTAAATTCAATCCTTAATAATATATTATAATATTTACGTAAATCGTAAAACTTTCTTAACTCGTATATATATATAATATCTTATATATTTACATTAAAATCATCACTTTGCATTTTATGATATTACAATTGCAGATATTGAAAGCGTTTGTTATGCTGTCAGTACAAAAATGGTGAAAATAATTGGCTTATAGAGATACATCGAAAGTACCAATTTCTTTCGAATACTCCGCTCGAATGCGACCCAGAACTTATGCAAGGTTAACAACAGGATCCCAATTTCTTTCCAGATGTCAGTCATATCGATTCCATGGTATTTCCCTTTGCTTCTCTTTTGATCAATTTATCCTCATTAACTACTACTACTCGTTACTATCAATTTCGATTGCAATTTCAATTTTACTTTACTAGCATAACCACTCTTTTTTTTCTTCATAAAAAATCATAGAAAAATAATTATAAACACGTAATAGAAAAAAACACGAATATTTGAGACATTTAATTTATACAAAATAACCAAAAATAATGATTTAATGTGAGGTACTATATATATGTTCTTCCAACATGGTGTCACTCATATAATAATCTCATAATTGATGCAACATTAATTACTAAATAAAAAAAAAAAAAAAAAGAAGATAAA